CCTAATTGATTTAGACATGTTTAGCTATCAGATCACTGAATGAATAACAGATTGCACATAAGATGCTATAGATTCATTTGATTCGACATATTTCTTGTATCTCATTAATTTATCGTATTCCTTGCTGCTGTTTGTTATGCTGCCTCGGGCATCTTCTCTTAAGAATACGAAAGCAAACTGCCAAGTTGTCAAAATGGACTCGATACCCATCCAATTAGGTTAAGTGTCTAGAATTTTAAAAATAGATAGCCCCAGTGAAGTACCTTGTGGTATGCACATGAAATACATGAGCATTTGAAACAAGAATGTCATGCACTGTGGGCAAATCTGGAGGGCGGTGCATTCCATGAGCATAAGAAAAAAATTGTATGCAAAAAGTGGTAGTTTTGAGTTCCAATCACTTTCCAGATCGAATATTTTTCTCCTGGCTATAATTTCGCAAGTCGAAATTATATCTAGTGTTTTTAATCATGATATTAATGAAATTCTCTCTCCCATGCGCGTCGCTTTCTTGAGATTCTTGAACAAGAAAGTGATGAGCTATGGACAAATCGTGATGTCTGGACAGGTCAAGCATATGAAAACAAAAGCTCGCCTAGGAAATACTTTTCCTCAATAGTTTAATGCAGCTTTTCTAGTCATATGATAAAGCAGTGGAGCCTTAGCACTGAGCTCTATGAGATTTTCGGAACTAGAGTGAAGATCATAGAGGTTAAATACGAATTTCTGGAATGTCATTCGTTATTATAAAAGTTCCGAGAATCCATGGGATTCCGGGATTCCGGGAATCTCGGGAATCCCATGGGAATTCCGGGAATCTTGGGAATCTTGGGAATCCGGAATCCGCCGTTTCTCCCTTGAAATAATGAGTACAGAAAGATCCTGTAGAGCTACTTGACATCGAAATCTTTAATTCGAGCTTTATTTTGCTGAAACTTTCATGCAATTTAAACATATTCTAATTCATTTCTAGATTGGGTAACAGTTTTACTGTGTCGCTTTAATCTACCAACGAAATTTCATACAAAGAATGTGGTCAGAACGAGATCAGACGTTCAAGTATGAGCAGCCTCAGTCGTATAAGTTTGATTTCAATATTGATCAAGTCAATGAAATGAATAATGAAACTACGACTGATGCTGGAATGATACCACTACATGATGATTTACAACAACAAAATTTAACTCCAGATCAATTGCAAGAGTTATTCTCTCGAGTTAGTTCTGAGCTAGTTGCAGAATCAACGGACGATCAAGAGTTTTTTAAACGCGAAGATACAATCAAAGTACCAAAAACAAGTAAAACAATGCAAACACCATTTCCACCTCCTCCATTAGATCGTCAAGAAGATGTCGACATTCACATCGAACATTTGAAACAGTTAGCTAAAAAAGAAGCAAGTTCACTGGTCATTGAAAGACATTCTCCTAATGAAAACGAAGTTGATCACGTGCTATCAACTATTACATTAACATTTAATCAATCAATGATAAGTGTTTCTTCATTAGATGAACAAATGAAAGCTGAAGATCTAGGTATATCATTAACACCAAACGTAGAAGGTAGATGGAAATGGATAGGAACGCAAACAGTTCAATTTGAAGCAAAGCATCGTTTACCATATTCAACAAAGTACACACTAAAAGTCAACAAAGAACATTGCGTGTCAGTAATCGGAGGTAAATCTATCTGAAACTATAGAAGTTACATAGAAGACAGATGTTTGTTCACTAAATTAATTAATTATATTCCTCCTCTTTTTTTCAGAAAAACATTTTCATTCAAGCCTCGAAAAGCAAACATATCGCTTTTAAATATTTCGCAAAAGAGATCCTAGCTCTCAAAATAAATCATAATATACTACGATATGATCTGAAGTAACCGGTGGCGAACAAAGAATTATAGTGTTTGTATTTTGAGTATTTCTCTTCTATTATCGATTTGATTAAGACATCTTTTGTATCAAATGATGCAGGCTGAAATTCTCTATAACATAGCATATTGTCAGGATTAAAAATGAAAATGTTCATGATTTAGTCAGAGTAGTTTCCTTACCGACAATTAACTTAGGAATTAAAATGATCAGAGACACCGTTTCTTTTGATCTGTACCAATCACCCGACCGTCCACACGTAGCTCGAACAACAGTGGTTGTCAACAAGAATATCATGGTTGTTTCCCATACAGGAAAATAAAACAGCCAAAAATTGTTTGTTCTTTAAAAAAGAAAGGTAGAAAGTTACATTTGAAAATTGGATATTAAGTTAGTACACCAAAGAAAAATACTTTAGTTTAAATAGTACACGAATAATTTGTAGAACAGATTCTGGATGTTTCAGCAAGATGGAAGGGTAGCTGTTTTCTGTAAAAACAAGTAGAACAAGCAAAAACTTTCACTTTGTTGGGCTAAGGACCTCTTACTGTTGTTCTTAGAGCTATTTCATTTTCACGCGTTCAGTGGTTTGAAGCGTTTAGAAATAGAACATATTGACTGTCCGATTAATTTCAATAAAATATAAATTTGTCTTCTTCTTTCTCAAGGTTCAACTTTCTGTATTAATGCTACCATTATCTAATTTTTTTAAATATTCATCCAAACGCCATGCTAATATCGAGATATAGATTTTGATTTGCCTATATTCTACATTCATTTTTGATATTTCGATTGCTTTTAGGAAAATTAGAGAACGAATTTTTCTTCGAATTTTCAACAACCACGCCAACAGTTCTCGAGTTCTTACCAAATGAAGAAGTTTTAACATTAAAACCTACATGTTTTCTGTTATTTGATCAAAAAATTGATAAAAATGAAATTTTCAAGCATTTATGCGTAGTGCGTGGTGATGAACATAAAATGTCAACAAATGAATTAGAACTAGTAGATGAAACAACAGCAAAAAGTGAATTCAAATCGTTCATAAATGAAAAAGAAGGAAATCATGAGCAATATGTTGCATTTACATTTAAAGATGATTTATTAAAAGCAACACAATATACAATTCAAGTACCTACAGGCTGTCCATCAGCCGAGGGACCACTGATGACAACATCAGAGTGGTCAACTAGCTTTAATACTTATGAACCTTTAAAAATAATTGATTGGTTTCCAAACACAAACGATGAGTGGCGAAACACTGCTATTCCTGGTCGAACTTGGTCACTTACATTTAATAATTCTTTAGATCATTCAACAATTAAAAAATCTTTATTCAGATTCGAGCCAGAAGTCAGTGGTCTAGGTGAGCATAGACGAAACTCGTTTCATAACATATTTTCTCATTATTTTGTGTCAAAAATCAATCTTAAAGAAAAACTTCTTTTAGGTATTGAACATACAGAAGACAACGATCGAAAAATATTATTACATAATGAATCTCAGTCAAATACTATTTATACATTACTTATACAGTCAGAAATATTGAAAGATATTTATGGTCAAACACTACAACATGATCTTTCCGATCAACCAATTCAGTTCGAAGTACAAGCTATAGATTCACCAACATTGGGAGTTTTACAGGGTGAATCAGGTATAGTACAAAAAAAGATAGATATTGTCAATAAAAGAGATGTTTATACTAGGCATGATCATAATGGATCCTGCTCTATTAAATGAACCGTGTTACACATTTATCGTTTGTAACTATTCAGAGCTAATACTTCGCATTAATCGAGTGAAACCAGAACATTACCAGGAGTATTTACTATACGTCAATCGACGTTATCGCAGCGATGAAGAACAAGAGCCAGATAATAAATTACCTGGTGAAGAATTATTAAATGAAATTATACAAACAAACTGTCAATTGAATGAACCAAAAGATATAAGAGTTCCTTTGAAGGCATATTTTACGAAACCATCTGGATTAGGCCAACTATTAATATTAATTGAACTAACCGAAAAGGCACGCGCTGAATTTCGAAATGAGCATTGGAATGATAGACCAACTATATCAATCTGGCTACAATGTACACGATTAGCAGTTGATGTATTTTCCTCTTCAGGTAATTGTATTTTAAAAGAAAAATAGAAACGAACAGATATGCATATCCATTGTAATGATTAAAACCATTTACTGAATATCGTTTCGAGCTGAAGCAGCACTGTACATGCTAAACTGATGTTGTTTCAATTCTAATTCGATTGGGCTGTGCCTCATTTTTCATAAAATACGCCATCTCAAGCTCTAAGAAACTGGATATTTTGATCTGAAATTAATTATACACTTGATGTTTCATATAATGAAAAGTAAAGATCTCCATAAGATAGTACCATATGATACGTCCATCTGGTTCTATTCAATTAAGAAGTCTAGTCAGGAATAATCAAAACATTTAAAAGGTAAAACTAATTGTTTGCATCGAAAACAATCGATGAAACTCGATATCTCTGAAAGAAATGTTTGGAGAATATTAAAAATGATATTGCTAAGATACTGAGAGGATTATTTATTCTACAACGTCCATTATTTCTCATAGATTAAGTAAAACAAGGATGAAAATAACGGCAGCTATATCATGTTTAACGCTTTAGTCTTGCATAAATTACAGTAACAACTGTTTATTCTAGATCCGGATTGTACATTAACCACATGGGTTACTGATCTAATGACCGGTGCACCCATCAATCAAGCAACTGTTTCAATATCGAATCAGAAAAAAGAAACAGATCAACACGGATTATGTACCATTAAACGATATAGGCCAGGGAATGTTCAAGAAACAGAAGAAGAAGAAGACACAAAAAATGAAATATTAGTCGTAGAAAAAGGCGACGATCTATGTATGCAAGTAAATATTCATTCTTATAGATCAACTGGTGATGTTTACATTTGGCATGTATTCAATGATCGTGGTTTATATAGACCAAAGGAAGAAGTGCATATAAAAGGTTATGTTTGATTAATGAAAATTGAGGGTGAAGCAAAAATACCTACTTATGCTCAAGGTGTAATTGATTATATAATCTGTGGTTCTTACAGTGAACAACTTCAACAGTCAAAAGTAGAATTGAATAATTATGGAGCATTTGATATCCATTTTACATTACCTGACAATGTTAACTTAGGTAAAGTTGATTGTCCTTGCAAAACTTGTTCAGAAAAGGTTCATAGATTTCGTTTTAAGAGTCGTTGTAGGTGTAGGCTCGGGTGATTGTTGCTATTAATGTTTAGACATTCCATTGACTCACACACACACCTACACCCTGATAGACCAAAGAAGAATTAATTGATTTCGAGTTCCCATTATTTTTAGGTAACGGATACGTTAGATTCAGTTTACTCGATTCAAAAAGTAATGAACAACATTGTTTTCAAATTCAAGAGTTTCGAAAACCGGAGTATGTAGTTTCATCAATGATTCGACCACCGTTAGCATATTATTGCTATCCAACTGTTGATCAATACGCTATAGCTAGTTGCGAAGGAAAACTATTTGTCGGCGGTTGTTTAAATGATGCATATGTCCGATGGACAGTACAAGCTACAACAACAACATTTACACCAGCTAACCAATACGGCTATATGTTTGGCAGAGCTCAATCGTTCTGTTACTATTCTAGCTATGATAGAAAAACCAAAATATCATATCCAAAAAAGCACTTTCAGGGAAAAACAAACAGTAAAGGTCAACATGAAATAAAAATTACTTATCATGGTATTGAACAAGAACCAAGGCCAATCATTGTTCATACATTAGCAACCATTACTGATCTGAATTATCAAACACAAGAAACAAAAGCAAATTTTCTCATACATCCATGTGCATATTATGTTGGATTTCAATTCGTAAAGAATTATGGAAAGAAAGATGAGCCTGTACAAACAAAAGTCATCGTAACAGATATTGATGGAAATTTAATTGATAATATTTTGGTTCGATGCGAAGTCATTGGATATGGTAGCGAAAAAAAAGAAGATCGAAATGGTTTAACAATATTTGAAGAAATAAAAGATGAACAAACATTAACAATAGTCAGTTCAAATAAAGGCGCAGTTAATATTGATTATACACCAAAATTAGGTAAGGCTTTAAATTTGAAGAAGAAAAAATCAAGTTACAGGTCATCATAATAAGATTTTTTTGTAATAAAGCCTTTTGGTTCAGCTCGAAAGTGGTACTTTAATGAATGTATAGTTTTAGTTCGAGAACTTTAGAGAAATTTCTACTATCATTTTCATATGAGTATGAATGAAAAGTAAGTGATATAATTTGATGTTGTCAATATGTAAATATTCGATTATCCTCATAGATTAGCCCATTTATAAATTCTTTGAGTGTGTAAGTTCATAATGGAGATCTTCATGAGATTGAATATCAAGCCATGCTCTTTAAAACGTTATTGATGAATAACTGAGATATGATTTCGACGAATCCACACCAAATCACCTTTGGTCATCACGAACCTTGTAGAAGGTTAGAGTGAACTCATATATTTCGGAAATGATATTTAGATGCGTACTATAATATAGATAAAATATTGCAAGTATCCATACAGACAATAGATCATCTGCCATAGAGACATCATCAATGCGATGCTTCTTTTGTCATAACACTATTTCACTTCTATTTGATACTAGATGGTAGATACAATATAACATACAGTGCCAAAGATGAACAAGGACGATTAGCTATGAGCTACTATGAAAATTTTTATGTTTCTGGTGGTTATAAAAGAGAAATACAACACGATAAAGAAATTAGTTTCATTCCAACTGATTCAATCACAATTATACCGAATGCAAAAAAGTATCAACCGGATGATCTATGTGAATACTAATCCTAGCACCGTTTAGTCCAGCTAATGGACTACTTATACTCGATTGTGACGGTCAAGTCTCAGAACCAATACTATTTCAAATAGAACCTGGAAAAAATTCAACAACTATTGAATTTAAAATATCAAAAGATTGGATACCAAACGTCGAGGTTCACGCTGAATTAACGGGATCAATCCCAAGAGAAATAGAAGTGATTGATTCACCACATCGTCCAGCAACTGCTATTGGTTCAGTATCGCTAAAAGTATCAACAGATATTTACAAACTAAATGTTTTAATTAACACAAAAGAAACAAATAAAATGTATGCACCATCATCGATCATTCATATTGATGTCAACGTCACGCAATACTTAGATAATGCATCTGTAGATAAAGCAGAAGTTTGCTTAATTGTTGTTGATGAAGCCATATTATCATTAACGGGTCACAAATTAGAGAGTCCATTGAATCAATTCTATCATAATCGATCAGAAAATATCAGACATCATCAAAGTAGAGAGCATTGCTTACTTTCCAATGTTCAATATATTGAACAACTTAAGAAAAAGATACAAGAACGTCTCACCTTAAACGACAGTGACCGTTGTGGTGGGGGAGGTGGTGGAGATGACAGATCGCGCCATAACTTCATGGCAACTGCTGTTCGGTCGAACTTCAATCCCCTCGCATGTTGGACACCCTCATCAATCACTGATTCATCAGGACATGTTTCAATTGAAGTTAAATTGCCTGATAGTCTAACACGCTACCGTGTATGGGCGCTAGCAACGAATGATAAGCAATACGGTTTTGGTGAAATGTCATTTACTGTACAACTACCAATTATGGTTCGACCTTCACTACCACGCTTTCTTAATTATGGAGATACAGCTCATTTCTCAGTTATTTTACAAAATCAAACTGATCAATCATTACTATTACATGCTGGCTTAAGAGCAACAAATGCTAAATTATTAGCATCACAAACAAATCAACAAGCAGTTGGTTATTCAATTGTTATACAACCTAGTAAACGAGCTGCTCTTAAATTTCCTGTAACAACAATTCATTCTGGTATAGCTCGATTTCAGTTTGTAGTGAGTACTGCCAAAAATGAAACATGTGCATCATTTGATGGTGCAATTGAATTAAGTTTACCTATATTTACACCAGCAACATCTGAAGCATTTGCAACATATGGCGATATATATGATGAACAAGCAGTTTTACAACCAATAAAAATACCAAAGAATGTTCTTGCACAATTTGGTGAAGTATCAGTAACAACAAGTTCAACAGCATTATCATCATTAACTGATGCAATTATTTCACTCTATACATATCCATATGAATGTACAGAACAATTAAGTTCCAGATTATTAGGTATACAGTCACTGTGGGATGTTTTACAAGCATTTCACTGTAAAGAATTACCTGACATATCGATATTGAAAACTAAATTAGAATCAGATATAAATATCTTAAAAGGTCGTCAATATCCAAATGGTGGATTTGGTTATTGGTCAAACCGAAACGATTCTCATGCTGATCCATATATGAGTGTACATGTTGCACATTGTTTAGTTGTTCTTGTGAATAAAAAGGTAAGAGCTTTTTATTGTACAAACAACGATATATTGAGAAATAAGTAGCAGTTGTGTAGGTGGAATTCTATTGCAAGTTCGAAAAGATTCTGTTTAGTATATAAATCTAATCAAAACTGTACTACAAAAAAATTTTAAATATCAACCATGTTTCATTATTTTAAAGGTATTTGATATTGACGAGAATATGCTGAACACTGCACTAAAATATCTTGAAAATATTGAATCTGAAATTAATAAATTACCATACAGTGAACATTGGTCTGAAAGAACTCGATTTAGTTTGATGAGTTATGCATTATATGTACGAGCAAAACATCTTCAAAATGTTGCTGATGAAGCTTCACAATTATTTCAACGAAGTGGATTTGATAAACTTAGTTTAGAATCAATAGGGTGGCTATTAGTAGCACTCTCTAATGACACGATTTCTAATAAATATGAATTAATTGACCGAATATACAAATATTTAAAAGATAAAGTAAATGAAACAGGGGAAACAGCGAATTTTATAACATCTTATGGTGATGATGGTCAATCAGTGATGTTACATTCAAATCAACGAACAGATGCTATATTATTAGAATCATTATTACATATTGATCCAAAGTCTACTCTTTGTACTAAATTATGTAAAGGATTACAAGCACATAGAGTGAAAGGCGCGTGGAAATCAATACAGGAAAATTGTTTTGTTTTAATTGCATTGGATAAGTACTTTCATATCAGAGAAAAAGATGAACCAGATTTTGTTGCTAATATTTGGTTTGACAATGCCTATTGTGATCAACATCAATATAAAGGTAAGATCATAGCCGTATAGCAGTAGTTTAGCAGAACCTTCAAAAGTATGGGTTTTCGAACTGGTTTAAGTTTCCTAATGAAAGATTTTTTTTACAGTCTAACTTGATGATTTCGAAATATCTCATGTATTCTGATTTCTTTTCTTATAATATAAAGGTCGAACAACAAATGCATATACAAGAAATATTTCAATGAAAGCAATCTTGTCGCCGTCATCATCACCATCCAATATAAATAATAATGATAAGAATTTAATCATACACAAAGATGGTAATGGTCGATTGTATTATCGTATTGCAATGAATTATGCGCCATCAAATCTGCAACTAAAAGCAGTTAACTATGGTTTTAAAATTGAACGAATATACGCAGCTATCGATGATCCATCACATGTTCAGAAACAGCCTGATGGCACTTGGAAATTCAAATTACAGGAAAAAATCCAAGTCACTTTAACAATGACAACAACACAACAACGACATCATATAGCATTAGTTGATTATTTACCAGCGGGTTGTGAACCATTAAATAGAAAATTAAACGGTACATTGACAGATAATACAAACTCATCAATAACTGGATCCAAAAGAAATAATTATTCTGATGGACGTCGACCATATTTAACTATCGGTTGGACTGATCATGAAAACTTAAGAGATGAACGTGCTGAAGCATTTCGATCAATATTATGGCCTGGTGTATATGAATGGAGTCATGTTATGCGTGCAACATGTGCTGGAACATTTATCACGCCACCAGCTAAAGCAGAAGAAATGTATTCACCCGAAAACTTTGGTCGCTGTGCCACAGAAATGGTTATCATTGACTAAGAAGCATGTCTTTAATTTAAAATTCCGTAATTAGTTTTCTATATCTCATTTGATTTTTTTTTATATATTCACATTACTTATCTCAAACTATTCATTTTACCGGTTTAACTAACTTACCATTATAACAGTTGAATAAACTTGATCATTTTATATTTTTATTGCAAACGCTAGTAGTGCGATAGGGATTTGTCCTAGAGTTCTGCGGGACAGTCGCGAATCCCAAAAAATCCAGTGTTCCGAATTTTTAAATCATTACATAAAAACGTGTGATACACTTTAAACCTTTTATTTATAACAAACATCTTAACGTTTAAATGGAAAGCAGAAAAAAAGGATTGGAAAATGTACTGAAAACTGTTCATCATCATCATCATCATCTTTTTCAGCTGTTTCTTCATATAATTATTGACTTGCTGCCGTTAATTTTTTTAATGTTACAGAAGGTGTTGAGTCAGTTGAGTTTTCATTCTTTACACACTTCAACAACTAAATAATAAATTTCATTTAAAACTCGTATATTTCTCTTAATAAATAACAAATTACTAATTTTATCTGTATATAAATGCGTTGTGTGCTTTTTTGAGTGTATGAAAATTAATCTAAACGAAAATTATTCGAATTTAATTTAAAAAAAAGTAACTTTCTAAGTAGAACTTGTAGTTGATAGTAATGAGTTAAATAATGACAAAAAAAAAGAATCTTCACACAATGATAGACAAATTGTTGATATAAAAGAGAGCACATGTGTGCCAGATATATCGAAGTTATTATAGACATGCATTACCTCAAATAAGCTAAAACATTGTAAATAATATCTATCACACAAAGCGCGGTTTGGCTAATCTAAAATTGATCAGATTAAAATATTCTTCGTCGGTTATATAAAAATTTAATATACTATGAAAACATGAGGGTACTATTTTTCTCAAATATCTTCATTTACTTGGAGCAGGGTTCAAAGTACCAATTTCTATTTTTCTTCGACAAATTTTCACTCTTTCTCTTTTTTTCTATTGATCAAATAGAAAAGGTCTTTTGTTTTCTTTGACGGAACTACGCAACATGTAAACATTTTTTGTCAACGGGACAAACGGGATTTTACGGGACACTACAAAGTTTTTTCCGCAGGTCTCTAGTCTGGCTCTTCTTTTCACACACACACCACTGTCCCGAAACAATTTATGTCTTTATTATAATAAATCATTAAAAAAATAACAACGAAACAATCTGCTTTTTATTATTATGAACCGTTGAAAAGAAAAGAAAGTCAATAACAAAAATAAAATTGATAATGAAACGATATATGATTTTATTATTATCAATGGTTAACAACAAAAAGAACCAACAACAATAATGAAATTAAAAGGAAGTAGCAACGAAACGCTAATGGTTTTATCACAATGAATCGTTAAGAAAAACAGAACTAAGGTACTGTACTTGTATTTTTTGAGGAATTTTTTAGTTATGAATCTTTTTTGGTTTACGTGATCGGTCTTTATTTTTATTTATGCACTTCAAGTGTGCTCGTGTTGGTCGAGCAAGTGAAGTCGAAGAAAGATTAAGATCTTTGGATTCTAAAGATGACTTGTATATCAAAATAAGAATAGCGTGATAAATGAAAATATATCAAGAAGATGATCTGTCTGAGCACGTTATTATTACCTTTAGAGTGGGATTGTGTTTTCCAAGCAATTGGACTAAGAAAACCGTTGTTCATACTATCCTCACGATTTTGTGATGAGATTCCAGACGAAAATTCATCGAGTTGATGAATAATATGTGTAGCTGTAATAGATGTTTTTCCATATGTATGTTTTTCTATAACACTTTCGCGATCAAAAATGTTAGTAGAAACTATAGGTATAGATGGAGACAATATATTGGAACTGCCCTTTTGCTCATCATTTTATTACTTTATTAATCAAATGACTCTGGACTTTCAGTGGAATGCTGATGCTGAATCAAGTTGACGAGCAGAAGAACTACACGAATAACTTTCTCGTTGTGCATCCTTTTCAAGAGTGCTTTTGGTTGAGTAGAATACATGATCGTCGTACGATCTAAACATTATAGATTTATTGAAGTACAAAGATTAAAATATTTACAATATCATACGTACCTCCTGTTGGAAATCAACGAATAGATTTCGATCGATATCAATATTCATACCAATAGATTCTGAAACAGAAGTTGTACAAGTTCTCTTTAGATTTATTCACATAACGTTACCATTTTCAGACAACGAAATGACTGAGTCGCTACTCCTTGAAGAAATACCCTACGGTATCAAAGCCACAATTGATAAGTAACGATTGCCATATTCTGGATGACGTACAAAATCTTAAACATCTTTTTGTACAATACCAACAGCTTCGAACGAAATCATTTTACATGATTTACGGTACGCTTCCATGGTAACAGGTTTATTATCACCACTATATTCTGATAAAACTGACAAGAAGTTTCGTTCAGAATCAACGTCGTTTTCAAATGGAATTCTTTTTATATAGACAAACGTTGATCGTGAAGCATGAGTTTTATTTCACGTGAGCATAGAATTAAAACATCAGATGCTACTAGATGATTCAACGATTCCTTCAAAAGACCACCACCAGAATTATTATGTATCAGTATCGATCGGTGTCGTTGTTTCGTTGTAAAGCAAATAGTAGGAAATAGAATAACAGCTGTACTAACATTATTAAAATTCCACGCATATCGTTGACGTTCTGCAATAGAATAGGAAAATCGTTTTTTCAGCAACATTATTAAGTTTAGAAATTTTTTATCTATTAAATTATGTATTCATTCGTCTATTCTAGGCACAATAGCTGTTTTTTGTTCAGGTGATAATTTTACGTAAGATTTTAGTCCCAACTTTTTCAAAGATTCTTAAAAACACGATTAATTCAGTATGTTGCTTTAACCTTTTTTACGTAAAGACATAATCTTTGAAACAGAGGTTAATCGCACTAGGATATGAGTATAATGATGGTGTATAATTTCAACAGGTGAATCTGTGTTTTAAGTTATTAGAGAACCGAAACATATTCATTGTTAAAATGAATAAAAATTCACTCACGTTTATTCTGTTTAAGCTCATTATGTTGAGTTGAACTTGAACTGTTTGTTAAACCTTGTTGATGATCTGGTGCAGCAACAATTAATTTCCGTCCAATTGAAGAAAACTTACGAGCATTTGTGGCGTCGAGTAACATTGCATATTGACGCATACTGCAAGAAATAGGATCTATTGCACGCAAAGCAACATCTTTCTTAATTCGAAATGGTTGACAATCAACTGGTACAAATTGATCTGGATAGTTTTAATGAAAAAGAGATTCAACATGATCCATAAAAGCAATATCAATAACACCAGCTGGTGGAAACTGATGACGAGCATTCAAGTAATTTTGGTGAATGATAAATTCAATTTCAATAGTTCGAAGAAATGTGGCCATTCAGTAAGCATGTTGTATAGCCTTACCTAGCCGAGCTGATAGACATTCATCGGTATTTCGTGTATTAAAGTCTATTCATTAAGTAATTGATAATACCGAGCATAAAACAAACTTACTTTTCTGTTTGCACATGTTTCCCCATACCATTATTTTATGTATGACATCCTCTTCGAATACAAAAGTTACATTCCCCATGAAAGACAAAATAATCAAATATTGCTCCAATGAATCTATTTTGTAACAATCAATCTGCTTTTGTTCTAATTTATCCTGAATAACAGGTTCATCAGTAGGCTAAGACAGAAAAGGACCAATCGAAGGACCAAAGCAAGACAGACCCTTCAGTCTAATGACAATGCTGGAAATAATATCACCTGTTGAACATCCCTGATACAAAATAAATAGTAATAATTTATTCATAGTATGAAAGTAAAGACATACCAGAATATTTAACTGAGAACGTTTCACTTATACAGATCTATTTGCTTATTGCCGAATATATGCATGCGATCCTCCATCAAACAGCGTCATTACAAGTGCTTAACAAAGAAATGATGAATATTATTACTTAGTAATGAGAAGGCAACATATCTCGACAATTCATTTCTCCTACTGTTCTACACATATTGTGTGAAAGCAAACGGGGGGGGGGGGGGGGGGCGGGGGGGGGGGGGGGGGGGGGGGGGGGGGGGGGGGGGGGGGGGGGGGGGGGGGGGGGGGGGGGGNCCCCCCCCCCCAAAAAAACCCCCCCCCCCCCCCCCCCTAGACACCTCGTCTAAAGTTGCATTAACCTGCTGTCCTAATGCAGTTTGACTACTTGACCGAAACTTTGCGGGTCGATGTAAAACAACCGATTTGAGCACATTGTGCAATATCTTCGTCAATCCTGACTTGCCATAAGCTAAAATTACGATTGCTATAGATTTGTTGGCAATTTGTGATTAAAAGAATTTGCACTTAAAACAAATGAAAATCCAGGTGTATCAGCCACACAGTTGATAAGCACTATAGTATGTGAATCAGCGTGGACTGAGTGAATATCAGCAAGTCCATTTATGTATTCTTCTAACTCTACTGTGAGTATAATACCAGGTCAAAATTTTAATTGCCTTGAATTATTTATATTCCGACTCAAATAACTCATTTATAAATAACAAAAATCAACAATACTAATATAACTAAAACGAGTCTATGTAATTTCGCCAATTGACAAAAACTACAATTGATGCAACGATGAATTGGCGATAAAATATTACCCCAACTAAAACAATCACTTCTTCGGAAACAATTTTCTTTTCATTATGTACATCATTTTATATACTAACAGATTAGACACTGTTAAATCAAATCCAACGTTCCAATCAAATATTACTCAACATATGCAAATTCAATTCCGTGATAAAAACAATTAGAATTTTTCTGTTTTTATTATTCATCGTTAATTCCATTAAAATTAACGCTTTAAATCTACACTCACAGGATATAAAATGGTGAACGCCTTTCTTTTGTCATATTAAGCAGAAAATACATTAGCTTTTCTATTTCTTTCGTTTAAAGTTTCCTTTTCTTTTTTTGCGCGGTTCTAGTTACCACCCCCTCCTCCCATTATAGAAGACCCCCCTGAAGAAAAATTTTGTCCGACATAATAGAGGACCAGGAGTCTTTTACTGTGGTGGTGGGGGGTAGGTTCCTTTTTGTACTCTATAATTTCACTTTCATATTGTCGTGCAAATCAACATAAATCACTTATTACTGTAGTTTTGCTTATTGTGACTGAACTTGAATTCATCTGTGTCATGCTATGGCAAGAGTATAATATATATATGATTTTCTTTTTATTCTGCCACAGAGACGAGGTTATCCATGGCAAATACGTGTAAAGACTAGCCATACACTTCATTTATTAAATCAAGCATTATTTTATATATATTTAATGAATTTTTATTTTTTTTTTATAATCTCAATAATTCAGTACAATCAATGGTCATTGAATGACTTAATATCGTTTCTAAGAAAATTTCTTTTAAATCAAAAGTTTGACGCTCAATCTTCAATATAGGCCCAATTGCTCAGGTATTGGCAAAAAATTCATTATACATTCTACACGTATCTGAGTTATTTTCTGTCATCAACGACATATTCATATTCTAGTGTCGCAATCGAATATTGAATAAGCATGATTTGATCTTTATTGATATAAATAAAAAGAATGATTCTATATTGATTAATAGTAATCAAAGATGTCAAAAAAAATGGATATTAGTATGGTTCAAAAAGCACTCGCAGTTGTACGCGATCCACGAGATTTAGCCAAGCTCAACAGTTCGACTGAAAGGAAAAATAGTAAAAAGAAATATTATCAATGTATAATTCACTTACTAGGTATTGGAAAAATGATTGTTGAATTTTTCTCAGCTGCTACCTGTGTTAATGTTTGAAGGTAGCGTAATTGTAATGCAATTGGACTTTCACTAATTATATCAGCAGCTTCCTAAACATATAAAATTGCTTCTACACTATATATCTACACTGAGGAAATCGTACTTTTAATGATCGCGATGCATTTTTTTCACCTTCAGCCGCAATGACCTTCGCACGGGCTTCTCGAGCAGCTAGAAAGATAAACAAGATCTAATTATTTAATAAAAAATAAATAAAGTCGGACCTTCAGCTTCAGTAGCCATACTACGTTGCATACTGACAGGCAATCGGACGTCTTTGCTAAATTAGATAATCAAAGTTATCAATAAAACAAAAGACAATAATTAGCTCAAAATACTTACACTTCAACACGTTCGACTTGAACTCCCCATGGTTCAGTTCCTTCATCAAGATGAACTTGCATTGAATGTGAAATATTTTCACGATCAGATAAAATTTCTTGTAAAGTTTTTGTACCCCTATGATTAAAACAGAAATACTTTATTCAAGTCTTATTTTTCATATTAACTTACAAAATATTACGAAGTGTTGTTGCTGCAAGTAATTGTGTTGAATTACCTGAATTTTCGACATTAATTACGCTGATTGTTGGATTACATATTCGAAAATAGACAACAGCATCTACTGAAACTGTCTATATGAAGACAAAAGAAAAGAAAAGTTGTCTACAGTTCTTTAAATTACAAACCACAGAATCTTTTGTAAGAATTTCTTGAGGAGGAACATCGAAAGTAACTAGAAAAATGAACAAATCGAATAATAATTCTTTCGATAATCGATAATGACTAACCAGTTCGCAAATCGACTTTAGTTATTGAATCAACACATGGTAAAATAAAGAATAAACCAGGACCTTTGGCGCCACCTGATAGAAGATAATCATATTTTCATTATATTTTTACTTTATTTCTACCTGAGAGAATTCGACCAAGACGCATAATAACTACTCGTTCATATTCTTGTACAACCTATTCAACAAATATTCGTTTATATAAAACGATTTAATATATTTTCTTTCTGTCTTTCTTACTTTTACAGTAACACAAAGTGAAAATGGAAATGTAATTACACAAAGAATATAGGATAATACAACAAGAAACCAACCGCATGCTCCAAGGCCTTCTTTTGTATTTTGTACGTCGCCTAATAATTAAGACGAAAATATTATTTTTCTAATTACTTAAATAAACTATGATTTAACAGCAGCTGAATAAGCCAAAAACTTCGAAAATTTTTTTATTACATTGATAATTTCTTGGACCAGTATCTCTTGGTACAGTCGACATATTTCCTGAAAAATGATCATAGATTAATATAGTACATGAAAAAGAAAAATTTAGAATCTTATAACTTACTGTTCAAAGCAGCATCAGTTGAAATTCGTTCTTTTTTTGATGCCATAGAGATTTTTTGTTCCACAGAGCTAACTCTATTCAAATGCTAAAAGTAAAATAAACCTTTTTTACCGTTATTTTTTATGTGGCCAATGCTATTTTCATAGGAGCAATTCTGTTGATAATGTAAAAACGTAGTTTATTTATGCGTCTTTTTTTTCTCATACGTAGATGCTGATTGTATATGACGTAGACAACAAAAAAAACATCGTGTTCTTTTTTGTGACTAAAAGTTTCGTCATAGTATGACATACCGATCATAGATTCGAAAGGTGCTCCCATGTGCATCCTCCCACTTTCACTTGTGTAGAAAAAGATGAATTAAGAAAGAAAATAACGAATGAAAAATAAAACTTGCGAAGAACAACATAAAAGTAGTGCTCCATGAGTTACAAATTTTCGTCCGTACACATCAGCGCTGTGCTTCGCATCGCATTAATAGCCGAGACACGTCTAATCACATTGAAAAATAATGTATGTACCGCAAAACTTAAAGAGGATTTCGTGAGTTCTACGAAACCTTTAAAGGATTTTGGGTTCGTTTCAATCGTCGAAACCACCCTTTTTTTACAACGTACTTGATCTCAGATGTAAACTACATTAAAATCATGTGTCACTTGAAAAGAGTTTTTATTAACTGTGTTTATTCAGAGCAAGGTGAACTTTTCTCGTTTCTTTCAAATAAATTGATAATGCGCGTATTAGTAAATGTATCAATGGCCACATATTTTCCTCTGTATTTCTTCAAGTCATATGTCATTGTAAGGAGACGAATTGAGAAATTGCTTCTTGGCTTATTTTATTTTTCATTATGACTACGACGATGATTTGTATTTTGTCTAAACTACCATTTCAGACAGATGAAAGAGTATCAAAATGAATAATTTGCCTTATTTTAGTAGCTCGTGATGGTCAATTGTAATCTCGATACCCTATAGTATGTCTTCCTAATAATGTTTTGAGCCGCTTCTTCACAAAAGAGAAGATTGAAACAAAAATCACAACCAATAAAACTAAGATGTGAATAGCTTTCAAAGCAGAGGTATTTTTATTTTTTATTAAACAAAAACATTTTCTCTAGCGGGAAAAATTTAGCACATTTTGAGTATTTAGCTATTTTTTTCGCTATTCAACACAGAGGTGTGCGGGATAGGGAATTTTCGTGCCCCGCGAATTTCCAGCACCCGTCCCGCCGACCCCCGCGCAGTTAAATTGCGTAAGCTCCCCCGCCCCGCTCACCCCGTCCGTATAACCCGAAGAAATTTTATATTTAACAAATTGTTTATTTTAAATTATTTATTGTATATAATCAATTAGATTTGTTTACAAAAAATCTGAGAGAAAAGTGTGGCGTGGGGGTGGTATCCATTTACTACATGTCTCTAATGACACTCACACCCTGCTTTATCTAGTATCTATATGTAATATTTGTGTAATTAAATATTTTTATCAGATAAATTGTTCTTTTGTCATTTCCTACAGCTTTGATGTAAATAATTTACTGTTATTATTGCGCGAAGATATTCTTAAGTTACTACGTGGTCTCTTGCGGGATTGAAAAAGTTGGTAGTTAGGTGAATTTATATTTAAAATAATCTAGTAAAACAGAAATATGAGAGAATTGATCTAGTCGTATTTGAAAATCATATTTTGCTGCAGCAACTCTATTTTTCACTTGTCAGTTTTTCAGGAAAATCCAAAAACATAGTTCAATACAGTATCTTTTTCTCTATCTACTGACATCAATGCTATATCTAGACTCGTTCAAAAACCTGCAGAGCAATCACGTAACACTTTCTGTTGTTTAACTTTTTTCTCACTGTTTTATCGGCTCAGAGTCTTTACCGAACGAAAACGAAAAAAGAAATACGTAATAGGCAAGCTTGTAGATCATTAGATGAAAATAAAGAGCCAATCAATATGTATTTCGTACTACGCACCTAGACTAACGACCTCTCAATAATTTCTACTACCCTTCACGGTGCCCCATGAAAAATCTTGACCCGCCAGAAACCGTGCCTTTTATTTTTATTTCACCCGCCCCGCTCGCCCGTCAGTGAATCTCACACCTCTGATTCAACAATAGTCGAAAATTATTCTATATACCATTCAATGTAACATTTAATGAGCTACATTTTGGTAAAAAAAGAACTTACTCTTTTAATGAATATTAATAACTAGTATTTATTGCTAATGAATAATTAGTTGATACCATTTCGATTTACTTTCAACTTGCAAGTATTTTATACTAAAGAGCATTAAGCATTGGACCCAACTATATACTAATTACTATTTCGAAAAGGATCATTTTAGTGAAGTTTTCAGCTTAACTTGCGTAACAACGACCTGCAATTATGCATTGAATCAATTCAAGTCCAGCAAAGTTCTACAGAAACAAAAAAAATAATCGTTCTTTGTAGTTCGATAAGCTCCATCTGCTTTTTTACTTTGAGCCAACTTGTATTGGAACATGAACTGAGAGTGAGTTTCTTCAAATTTGGAAGTTCGAACTCTGGAATATTTTCTCCACATAAGAATTCGATTTCAAGTGATACCAAGTTCGAAAGAGATGAAAGTTAAGCGAATAGTGGATAGGGATGGTTGGGTATTACATTTACGATAAATAGAGATCGCAGTTGAAAGAATTTATTAGTACCAGCATGATTTTCAAAGAAGTAGGCCACTTGTCCTGGTGTATGCTTATGATTGGAAAGCTTTAATGAATGCCATCGATTGATGTTCTAGTATTGAAAGATGCTATCAAAGTTGTTCTTACTGGTTGAAGTAAAATCAAATGTATGGCAAAATTCAACGAGAAACTTTTGAAAACGCCAGTTCAGATTTGAGAACGTGATGACTGCATCAATGGAAGTTGTGTAAGATAAAATTTCAATAAAAATCTCATTCGGAATGCTTTCAAATAATGTAAAATCATTTTGATCATATCATTTAATAGCCATGAGAGCAATCTTCATTGTCTTCTTTTTTTATTTATTTTATTTGGTCACATAGATGTTCTCTACAAGCGTAATTGTCATAGGAACTTTTCTTCTTAGACTTTGTACTTTTTTTTCTTTGAAAATAATGGTCTATCAGTCGATAGCAACATGTTTACGGAGTACTAATGATTGATTATATTCTATTCACTTTTTGTTCAGTGAGATCATCAGAAGTGAACGAAAATTTATTTCACAGTTCATCTTCTTTCGCTTTATGTAAACAGGTTTTCTCAGATATCCCTAAATCTTCGACAGTGTCCCCACGCGGGCAGCTTGTGCGTGACTTTTATCTTAATTCAAATATCAAGAAGCAATATTTTTTGAACTTCAATTGCTTTTATCATTTTATTTTATTTTGTCTAACATATTCACTTATTCCCTCTACTGAAAGGAGGGTATTACAAAAAACGAGTTAAATACGTTCGTTCGTCTGTTCGTCCAATAGGAAAGCAGATGCATAAACTTAACTAAACTCAAGAAAAATCTGTAGAGATAGGTTTCACCGAAGGTAACCAGGGTCGGGGAACACGACAGCGTCGTTAGTTTTTTAAAGTTTTGTAGTTCAAGCAAGTTTATAATCGATTAGGAGCAGTTTAGATCGTCGCGTTCTCGTAAGAGGAATTCTTTGTAGGGGAAATTTTTTGAGGGTACCATTCGATGGTGTTTATAGTGTTAGATGTATCGTATGGTTATATGAGGTCTTATTACGAATAGGCTATAGGCATATTGCGATGGAATTGTTTCTCAATTTGGCAACGACTAGCCGCTCACCTGCACTAAGACGTTGAAAGCTTTTTTTCAAAGTCTTCAGTTTATTCTTTGTATGTCAATTTTTATTGTAGCACGAAGAATTTATTCAAACTTAATTCCTAGAATTCTAGACTAGGGCATCTACGAACGGCCGTGAACTGGAAAGGTACTCGGGAATCTTGTCTCATTCTTCTCTAAATTATGAGGAATTCATCGCAAATGTAGATGAAACTGGATTAAATTAGTCCCATAACTATTGTTTTCGGGCTTTTGAAGGTACTCTTGTTTTTCATCTAATAATTATAGAATGAGGCGAAGCTTTCTATCAATCATGCCGTGTTTAAAAGGATCACGTTCGCCGCATATATGAAACAAAACTAACCGCTCAGTTAAAAATCTGTTGTGATTCTAAGACTAAAGACCTGGGACACTTATAGAGTAGTTACACGTTGTCTTGATCAGAAAAGTTGAAACAATTTTCGAAAAGAAGAGATATCTTGAAGTTCTTCCGAAGACAGGCCGTGAAATAATTGGTCAACTCGTGTGAAATACTTGAAATTTATATTTGTCGTGATTATCTTACTAAGTTTAGTTTTTCCTGATTGCAAGTAGATTCGATTCAAAAGATGTAAATGTTAGATTTATCTATCTGTGAACGTGCACCCCGGAATGGATATATGCATTCTAGACGAGAAACGCATCGAAACAAAAAGAACCCAGATGGAGTTGAGCAAAAATGAGGACAAATCTAACCGAAATCGAGTTAGAAAAAGTCAGTTTGATTTAATCTATGATCTACTCGTGCAGATTCATGTTAAATATCTAGTGCATAGGTCAATTTGAGTTGTAACTTTACTAAAATGGGGTATTTCGACCATAACTATCTTGAATGAGTCTTTTTCTTCACTCCGTTATCAAGCTGATTGAAAGTTTTCGGAGCATAGCTTGAGCTGTAGCAGATCGGATGCATTTAACTTCGGTATTCCCATATAGTATTAGTAGGTACCACTTAAATGTCGTTTACTTGGTGATACTTCCAAGCAAGTTTTCTATTTCTGCTCGGTTAATCATTATCCTTTTGTAGTTACATTCCCCTCCTTCGGGGCGTGCTAATCAACCGGAGAGAAAGAGAGATACACGTGTAATAGACAATATCAGTATGTATAGAGGAGAAGTCGTTGTATACCTTAATTAGGATCGAGTTAGTGCTTACAATGGCACACCAATCAATTCCATAACTTTGATTTATTTGATGATAATGATGATGCACGATTGAGCACAGCTTAAAAGTAAATAAACCTTACTTAACGTTCAAACCTGTTCTTTTCTTTTCTTTGTGTTCTTATGATCAGCATATATGAACTCATAAACTACATGTAGATTCCAGTTTTACTGAAAGTGACCAATATCGTCCTTTGGAATTCTAAAAAGATGGAAACTACCATTCTAAGGATGTCCTTAACTAAATAATAGCTTACACTATTAATTATATGATGACAAAAGATAACGCGTGAAGGATACCTCTATGACAGTGATGAAATTACTTGTCACATTGAGTCATATAAAGACAAGTGTTGTCATAGATTTTCCCTCAGTAGCGATACAGAGAAAGAAATAATACTCGAAAATATATGCAGCATGAAAAAAGTCTCTTATTTTCGCCTACCCAGACATATATATATATATATATGAAGAGCAAAATAGAGATGCGAAGTAAAGGTAATCGTCAGTAAATTTAGAAGGCTGCTGATGACTCATTTATGACTTTATGAAAAGTTGGAATTCTGCACTGAACTGCTGAAAGATGTTGGAAAAAATTATCGAGAGTGCTGCCTTTTTCTAATTGTTTTGTCGCAGAAATAACTGATACTTGAATACTTCTTGTTGGTTGCACCGTCATGAAGGAAGATAAGAAATGTTTTTTTTAAAAGAGCTATTAGCTAATCTGATATTTTTGCTGATACTTCAATTGGAGTTATGCGAATGTTTTGATGAAAACATATAACAGAAATCGAGAGAGAAAAAGAGAAATAAAAACAACAAAAATAATGCTTCTTTCAGATGAACAACTTTATAAAAAAAAGTGGGTGATGATTGTGAGTGCGGAGAACAAGGAAAAGGTTGCGCAAGTTGGAAAAACCCATACAACGACGCCATAGGTTTGCCAGTCTGCCGTTTTTCGTCACATCATTTTTTTTTGTCGCAGTATACATTTATAGACCTTCTCTTGTTTTGTTTTTCAACAAAAAAAGTGCTATTTTTCTGCTTGCAAAATTCTCATCGTTCGATGTATGCTATTTGGTTTCTTTTTTTTAGATATTCATTCTTGTACTTATTGTTATAAATCGATCATACAAAAACAAATATTCAAACGAATATATATTTTTTCAATGGATATTTATCATTCATTTGAGTCATTGGGATTAGACGATGGAAGTTTGTGATTGAAACAAACTCTATTTGTGTTGAATTAATATTCTCTTTTTATTTTTCAGGCATCACTGCACCCGATGCGATCTCCTTAATTTCAATGCCCAATCTAGTAGATTTACTTGTAGAGATAAATTTACATTGTAAATTTTGCAAATATATTACTCGATTTAACTCTCATTCTTATTTGTATTTTCTTATTGATATAGAAGAAAACTACAGTCAACATCAATGGACACCAAACAATATCGGTGAAGCTCCCACGGAAGAAACTGATGGTTTGTCTCAATGAATGATGTATTTTTTCAATTAATGTATCTCTGTTCTTTCAGCATTGCGCCAATATCCTCGCAAATCAACACTTCAACAACAAGTAATTATGCAGCCAACAGACGAAGTTGGACAGATCGGCGTTAGTCTTACCAGTAATCCAATATCATATGGATCGACAGTGGTTGAAGAATATCCTACCAATGGGAAGAAATCTACAAAATTAGTTAAGTCAGTGGTAGGGATTTTTACAGTAATCATCAATAATCGGACAACATTTTTATTCGTGTTCAATTGAAATAGGATGTGTCATCGACAATCACTTTTGCCGAATGCAGTCAGTTATTAGTAACATTTGATGAAGCATCTATGGCAGTATCAGTCCCCCCATGTCCATATCAACGTGCTCGATATGAAGGTGAATGCTCGGGTGCTAATCGATATATTTTCTTACCTTGGAATCAGAT